TTATTTTTGCCTCTAGTATTAAAATTGTGTCTATCGCTTCTTTTTTCAAACAATTGCCTATTTTTCCTTACATACATTATATTTTCATATATATATTGACAGGGCACCGTTAAAATATTTATCGTTTTAAACAATTCTCTCAGCGATTCGCAACGGCGTAAGTTATATATTGCTCGGATAGCCCGCTTTTGTAGAATAAATATTGATTCTATTTCTGCAGCTCGACCCCACAACAAAATGCCGTACGACATAATGCTGTGGAAATATACATTAGATAACCGGGGGATATTGCCATATTGGATAACACATTGGTACCGTCGCATCGAGTCGGTTTGATGATGGAACTGAACGGTGGCTAGTCGAAGTTTAGGTTCCTACTAGTAAACAGATCGAGTTTGGCCTCATTCAATATGTCTACTTTTCTTAATGGCGGGGATATTATGATTAAAATCGTGTTTTAGTTCTTATGACTATGAATAAATCTCTTGGGTTTTCGAGCAGAATCTGCAATCAGTGAAATGAAATTGTATAGGTTGAATAAGACTGGACCAAGTACCCAGACGGCAGTCCAGATTAAATACTAATATTATAAATCGGAAAGTGAGTTTGTTTGTTTGTTCCGCCTTCACGCCGTAACTACTAAACCGATTGCTTTGAATTTTTGCAGACGTAAAGTTAGAGTTCCGGATTAAATAATAGGGTACTTTTTGTCCCAGAAAAAATTCATAGGTATTCCCGAGGGAAAACAAAAGTGTTGGTATAGATGGCGCTGTATGTATTTGTATATGTCACATAGGCTACTTTTTATCCTTTTGTAACGCGAGCGGAGCCGCGGGTAAAAGCTAGTAATAAATAAATATATAATATAATAGAATAAATAAATAAATATAAACAGGGAAGAAAAATTATTGTGAAACTCCCACTTTTTTTATTTTTTAAATAAAACGTTGCCCCACACTAGGATTATCTCCTGCGTCGTGGGTGCGTTTACAAACATACAAGTTTACATACACATTACACCCAGACCAGAAATAACAATTTGTGGATCACCAAAGTGTTGTTCCGTGCGGGAATCGAACCCGCGACACGTTGCACGGCAGCCGGTTGTCCAGCCACCGCACCAACCGTGCAATCAACTTTAACTCGAAATAATCTACACAAGCGATAAGAAAAAATTGTAAACAGATTGTGGCAGCTTTTTCATACAGTGTGACTTGTAACTCGACGTATTCCTCTCGGAGGGTGATACTGATAATACAACTAATTTCCTACAAAGTTAGCCCTGAGGTCCCTGGTCCGCAAATGGCTAGTTTCTGAAATATTCAACATTTTCGGTTTTGGTGAAAAAATCCCGATCGAACTACAAAACAATAAATATAAAACTACTGGTCTGATTTAAGTGATTTTAGTTTTAATTTGTTGTCAATACATCAATAAACATTTATTACAAATCACCTTGTATAGTCCTTTTTGCCAAACGCGATCAAAGGCTTGTTGAATCGTCTTCAAACAAATGTCACCTATTTACCGGGTTCCGAACCCGCACCTTCGGGCTCAAAAAGCAGGCGCCTCAACTTCCGTCCACTACGACCTTCATCAACTTCGTAATTCTTCTAATATACTTTCATGTTATCAGGGCTCGCTGCCATCGCAGCGGTAAGTCCCCTCTTTGAGGAGTGGCTTGAGGGACGCTGAGACGTCCTCACCTACGGCCCGACGCAGGTCCTCACCGGGCATGGGAGCTTCGGGAGGTACCTGTGTCTGATAGGGCGGGAGGAAACGTCCGGGTGTCATTACTGCGAGGACCGCCCTGAGGACACGGTGGAATACACAGTAGGAGAATGCCCTGTGAGCACCGCCGTGCTCTCAGGGACGTGATCCGCGACGGGGACATCGCCTCCGGCCCTAGTGCTGACCATGATGCGGAGCGAGGGGAACTGGGATGCCGTCTCCTCCTTTTGCGAAGCAGTCATGCTACCTAAGGAGGAGGCGGGCGCATGAGGTAGCGAAGCGCTGCCTCCTCACAAACCAGCCGTCGCGAAGGACACTCCGGGCGTCGGGGATCGCGGGACGATCTCCGGCCACCGTAAGCGCGGGCCTGCGGACGGCGAGCATGGGTGACTCGCCGCCCAACCACAACCAGAACCGAGCGTACGGCGCGTCGCGTTCCGCGCGCGTCTCAAAGAGCCACGAGACCACCACGGGTGGGACTCAATAGGGCTGATGCCAATACGGAGTCGTGGAGAATCTAATGGGTTACCAGGGCATCGGCTCGAAGTTCAGGAATAGGAACGGGGTGGTTTTTAGTCAATAAGTAAGAGTCTGACACTCCCTCCCGCCTCACCCAGGCGGAAGTAGCCATTCGATGATTTTCCCCCCTTAAAAAAATATACTCATATTATAAATGTGAAAGTTTTTGAGGATGTGTGTGTGTATGTTTGTTACCGCCTTACATTAGGTAGTAATGTAAATGTTTAATTTCTGAAGGTCACCTGCGATACTAGTGCGATCATAATTCATCGATTCTGATGAAGGCCGACTACTGACGAACGAGCCCTGCTGCCGCGAGCCGCCTAATGTCAACAATATATGCGATGTAGCAGTACCGCTACAGTACCGCCGACTACCAGTGCGGCGGCACGCAGGCCCCGTGGAGGGGTGCGACGCTCATCGATCGCGGCGCGCGGCTCTCTGCCGCCGCCGCGGCGCCTCGAGAGGCTTCTCACTGAAAAATTGATACGGTTAGTGATTCACGCATTGTGCGACCCAATCTCACACCAACATTTATGGCTCCTTAACTTCATGCGTTCACAAACCTCGTGGCCAATTTTGCCCACGACTGATCACTAAATTGTGAACCTTGATATTATAGGATGGCTTTTAGGTACAATGCATTTGTTTTACCAATTTTCGCCCGATGCGGTTATGTGACGTCCTGCTTTGAAATATATGGTAGGTATTTGGTTTTATTTAATACTAACACTAGTATACGTACACATTTAAGAGTTTAATTCTTCAAATACCAATCTCGGTATTATTCATGATAGGTATTAGGGCACGAGGTAATAGATATCAAACGTATTTACAATTGTTTTACAAGCGATAGGAACTCATCCATGTTTGTAGCTTGGTATTTGGTATTTTAAATGGTATTTTGTACCAGATGATATCATTGGTACTTTGGTATGCTGTAGACTTATAGATCACTTTTAAAATGTAGCTGGGTCCGGTGGAAGCCCTGTAGTTACACTACACTACACCTCTACCATATTCCCAAAATTCGAAAAAAATATGATCAAAATTGACTGTATTGCATTGGATGATTTCCCATCCTCATAAATGCAATAAATATTGAAATATTTAATTTATTTATTTATCTAACTCATTTTTCGATGCTTTGTCTGCCACACAGTTGGAAGTTTGGCCACGACATGCGGCTGCGTACATGGTTACTGGCACTGGCTACACTATAATAATTATACGCGAGTAAACTACACCTCGGTTACTCAGTCACCAGTCAGCTGAGTATTTGGACTCTTTTCGGCATTTAAATTTGAGTGTCGACTTGTCCGGGTGCTGTGGGGTTAACTTGGTGCCGGTCAAATAAGTAGCCAGGATGATGCGACTGGTGTCGTCGAAATGGCGCCTTAACGAGGCCGAGCCTTAAAGTCTCGATCAAATCAAAGGTCATCTCATAGCTCACAAACAATAAGCATTTCGGTGAGTGTGTAAGGATATTGCAAAACTTAATTTCCCTAGTCCATTGGATCATCGTATCATAATACTATCGGCGAAGCGCCACCGCTTCATGGTGGATATCCCACTCACTCGCACGAAGCGCTACGCTTCAAGCTTCGTTGTGCGAACTGCTAAGGAGCGGAATTATTTGTCAGAGTTTGTGTTTCCAGAGTCTGTGTACCTGGGTGTTTTCACGGCCCGTGTGAATAGATCACTAATGGCGAGATTGGATAGTGGCCAAACGTCGGCCAATCACATATAAAAAATCAAATTATAGTCCTCGGCGTTTTACTCAGTCACAACAACAACCCCCAAAACAGCTGCAACTCCTGTAATCTAGGAACTATAGTAGATACTACCGACAGTTCTGCGAACCCGTTGCTAATCTCGTCTACTGATTTTTTGGTTGTGTACATAATAAATGTTGGTACATAAGATTCAATACTGCTTACTTTTTGCGTGTACTTACTACATACATGCAGATGCATGGTGCTATAGTAGGCTGTACTTAATTTGTATTAAAATATTAACCAGGGTAACATTAACTATAATTTGCTCGTTACATAACATTGTATACCGCTGCCCCACTGCCCCACCTTGAGCCCATGGCTGGCTACGCCCATGACCTATGCTAGGAGTTTCTTGTGTCGTGGTCGTGGGTACGTTTACAAACATCTCCAGATACAGACCCCAGACCCGGAATAACAATTTGTGGATCACACAAAGAGTTGTTCTGTGCGGAGTCGAGTCGAACCTGTGATACGTTTCGCTGCAGCCGGTTGCCCAACCACGGCGCTAACAGTGAATTATATTGAACATAGACTTGACTTTACTTACAAAAAAATATTATTTACGTAGGTAAATAATCTATAGAGATAAGTAGGTAAATCTACTGATTTAATACTCAATATTTATTTGCATTCCATAATGTATTGTACAACAGTTGGCATTGTTACAAGGTAAAAATTGGTACAAAGTTAAGGTTGTTACAGACACATTTAATGACCCTGTCGGGGTCGGGCACAGCAAAAGTAGCTTTTTTTATAGAGGAGAGGATGAAGAGCACTTTTTAAAATTTAAAATATTGGATACGAGACGAAGATTACAGTTATGAGTTTAACTGGGTAGGTACTTAATACATTTATATTCATTTGCCTATATTTATTATAATATATATTTGTTTGTTAGTTACATATATTTTTGTCAATAATATTTGTTTTTTAATTTATAGTTTACAAACATTTTATTCTACTTTAATTGGACATAAATAAAATTAATATTAAATATTACTTAATGAAAATATATACAACTTAAAATATAAATAACTATGAACTAAAATATTTACACCTTAAAAAAGTAATAATAATAAAAATGACGATAACCTCGTGAAAGCTGAGAAAGGCAAACAATAAAATATCTAGACTTAGCTCACGAGATTGTCGTCATGTGGAGTGTGGATTCGGCTATCATTGTGCCGATAGTAGTGTCGGCCAATGGGTTAATCCCTAAAAGCCTCTACATCCATCTTACGAGGTTGGCGTCGGCGTTAGGTGGATGGATCAAGGGCCTGATACAGAAGGCAGTTACTGTTACAGACAGTTACAGGCAGGCAGATACTCCTAGAAACGGCACGTATCGTGAGGAGGTTTCTGTCTCTGGAGCCCTAACCACCGGTAGCTTGGACCATGCTCCCGCTACTAGTCGGCTCCTATTTTTTATATTTTTAAATATTATTTTTTATTTTATAAGTAGTATTTAAAAATGTAATTTGTAGAGAATTTTAAATAAATATAATATGTAAATAAAAATGCTATCTTAAGGCATCAATATAAATTTTCCTCATCGCTACCGTGAGTGCCCAAAAGACTGGCAGCATTGCCACGTTGAATGGCAATGCTTAACCTTTGCCCAAGGTAGTAGCCAGCCCTTCGATCACCTGAAGTGTCAATCATCCTCCTTACAATATCTTTGTAAAGAAGATGTGCACTTGGGCCCCATGACCCTAAAGTTTCCACCCCAAACGGTTTATATTAATTATATTGGTTTACATTCATCATATTTATTATCTAAGAGGAACATTATATTTTTATTAGGTATATACATATATTATTTTATTCAGCACATTGCACGGTTGTTTTGCGGCTTACTTTTATTCGTGTTTATTATAGTTGAAATTCGTATTCATTTATTAATAAAGATATTATTTGTACTTGTGTTTTTAATATACTCAGGTTGTTTATTTCATCGAAATATACCTAATATTTTGATGGAGGCGACAAGCGCCCTAGAGGAGTGCATTTTTAATCGTGAAGTAGGCAGATTCAGTCTATTTCTATGTCTAGGATTCATTTTTGTCTGGATATCTCCTTTACAAACTTACAAATTTCGCATATATACAGACAGGGTAGGGTTAACATGTTCAGTTCATGGAGGTGTGGTTTACATGAATCGGTGTGGTGTCGTCAAAATTAGTCAAAATTCTTATTAGTTTTTTTTGGTAGGGTAAATAGCGAAGGCGCATCAGTACTATTTCCCCACAGTATAATTCCATATTTAAGCCATTAGATTTAGTCAGGTGCAGTGGGCAATAGGCAGACAGATATAAGTGGTAGATAAAATATTTGTAGGTAGGTTTATAGTAGTTAGTAGCGAACTGTAGAGGGCAAGAAGCTGCGATTTGTAGGTTGTATGGAGTATGGAGGAGAGAGGCGCGCGGCGGCGCAGCGCGGGCCGCTCCGGGGCCGGCTGCCGCCGCGCCGAGCCAAACACTACGCACCGCCCTCGCTCCACCAGACGCGACACATTGCTCGACCCGCTGTCTACAGAGTACATACATACATAGGTACTTGTGAGAGTAAGACTCCACAGTCTCCAGACACAGAATGGTAGTAATCTGTTTCAGATCTCACTTTATTTATTTATATACAGCGTGTTCAGTGAACGTGTACTACCTGCTAGATTAAACCGACCCAATTCTCAGGACCAGGTGCTGTGCCTGTCGGTGCATACAAATTGTACGTGCTCTTATGCCGTGGCCACACCAACGTCAACGTCAATGCCGATTATCACGATGTTTACTACGATAATTATTGCGATAATTTTAACGCGATAAAGTAGATGGGTGGCTACACTTGAAATTTCAACGTGAATGCCCATAATGCCAAACGGCGATGTGAATGCCGTTGTCAAATTATCGCGTTGACTCGTGGCTACACCTACAGTGAACGTACACTATCGCGATAAGCAATGGCATTTCTCGTTGGTGTGGCCGCAGTTTTATACGTATGTTGAAGTAGGGAATATTGCGGACAGGAAGTAACGCCTGTCTCAATTGCGTGCTAGGCTTGCTGTTATCGCATCAGGCGACATAACCCCTTTTGAAGGAGTGGCTAATCGCCTTCTGCCAGACACAGGTACTGTACTCACCGGACAGGTGGACATGGAAGTTTCGGAAGGTATCTATTTCGCACTCGGCGGGGGGAAACGTCCGGTTATCATTACTGCGAGAACCGCCCCGAGAACATGGTGGACCATACGATGGCGGTGTGCCGTGGTTGGGATGAGTACCGTCATGCTCTTGGAAACGTGATTGGATGCATGACCTCACACGCCCTATTTGGTTCAGGTCATAGTGCGGAGCGAGGGGAACTGGGAAGCCGTCTTCTCCTTCTGCGAATTAGTCATTCTAGCGAAGAAGGAGGCTGAGCGTGTGAGAGAACGATCCTCTTTACGCTCTAGCCGCCGCAGCTAAGCTAAGACATTTCGGGCGTCAAGAATCATGCGACGACCACCAGCCAGGGCCACAAGGGTATGAAAATCCCGCGAGATTGGGGTTCAAACAAGATCTCGCCACATTGCCAGTTTTTTGCAATTATTCGGTCGGTCGCGGCGAAGTTGCACAGCTTACCGCCCACGCTTACCGCACGACGAAGAATGAAACTTGAAAGAGTTCCTTTGTGACTCGAAACTAGTAGAGCGTTTCTCAGTATAATAGTCACGAGAGTACCTAACCTGTCGTTTGTAGTCAACTGCCAAACTGTAGTTTACTACTTCTACTTTGACGTACATAACTGTGAAATATTATAAGAAACAACCAGTCTTCTCCTTTGCCGCCTTTGCCCGAGCTGGGATCAAACCCGAGATTTTTGGCAAATTTGCTAGCTGTAGGCACGTTGTTCGCGAATTATCGTCAGGGAGGTTCAAGTTTAGTAGGCAGGTAGTCGTGGTGTTCCTCTTACTTAGGAAGGCGAGGAGAGGGCGCGGCGGCGCGGGGCGGGGCGGGGCGCGCGTCCCGCGGCAGTGGCGCGAGTGTGGTGACGCGATGCGCTCGTTCGTGAGGGCGGCGACACTGGCGGCGCTGCTGGCGCTGGCGGCGGCCGCGGCGCGCCGCACTGACCAGGACTTCGAGTTTGACGATGACACGGTGAGCTTATACCCGTGCTTATTGTGCGTTGTACGCTCTGGCTGCGCGCGGCTCGGGTGGGCGAGACAATTTACATATGAAGACCTTGTCCGTACAAGGAGTCTGGAATGTTTTCAAAATCATTTATACTTAAGTTCCCAAGTATCTGCCGCCAAGACTGCCTTCCACTAGGTACCTATTTTATGCAATCTAATCGGATATACGGATACTTAGTACCACTTACGCTTTATGTATCTACCTATTAACTACATTATTATCCGTTGTATACAGCAGGTAGGTACCTATCTATATTTTTACAGGATAGGTTCATACAAAGAAGATACATAATAATTATACCTACTTATATCAATAGTTTTCGTAAGTACCTACGTGGTTATGGGTACAATCACGGTACAATACATATCTACTTATCCTTCTATTTACTTTTGTTCATTGGTAAGGTCATCAAAATGTGTAGTTCAGGAAGGTACCAATGTAAGTAGGTAACTTGTCTCAATTTGTAGAATGTTTGCTGTGACTAATATGTTTGTTAAACAATTTATTTCGATTATATATATTGATTGGTTATTTATTACCTTGATAGGTACCGAATTACATCTTTGGAAAGGATTTGGTTGGTAAATCTGTGGTAAATGGTAATAAGTGTAAAAACAGGAGGTACCTACGTAGATGTTTTATATCGTGTGTTCCATGCAGGACGCCGCGGTCGCCGCGGCGGCCCCGGGCGGCAGCGGCGCGCACTCGCGCAGGCCGAGCCGCTACGTGTACGACCCGCACAGTGAGTCTCGCGTGCACTTGCACCTCATTCATATACCAACAGCGATATAATATCTATTATTTATTCATATATAGCTCATGGAAGGCTAGCAGAAATACAATAAATAAAAAAAACGACGACGTTTATAAACCGACTTCAAAAAACTAATAATTACTTAATAGATACCTAGGTACCTACTTACTTATACCTACATAGAATTCTGAGCTTGATTAATTAGCAAGTGGTATGAGTACTGGATAAAACAAAATTAAAAGAGCCTTTACCTAGGTAATATTGAAAAACAAAACAGAACGCAAAAATACAGGCCATGCAGAGAATCTGATTTACAAAGTAAACTTTAAATAAAACTAATAACGATTGCTGCTTGAAAAATTTGAGATTGAAGCACTTTATTGCTGAATTTACACTAGTTGTCAAAGGATCGAGATATGGTTTTTTTGTGGGGGAAAATCATCCAATTACCCCTTCCGCCTTGGGTTAAGCGAGAGTGTCAGGTCAGTTACTGACTAAAAACCACCCTGTTACCTTTACCTACTACTTCTACTCTTCGAGCCGGATCCCAGACAACCCGTTACGCCTTCCGCTCCGTATCAGGGACCAGCCCTATTGATCCCCATCTGTGATGGTCTGATGGCTGTTCGAGGCGCGCGCGGAACGCGACGCGCTGTACACACACAGTTCTGGTTCTGATCGGGCGATAAAAACTTCGTTTAAAAAACCGACTTCAAAAAACCAAAAAAAAATAATAACAAACAAAAAGTCAAAACTAAAAAGCAAAAAATAACTATTATTAGTACTAATCGGTTACCCACCCACTTATAGGTTAGAAGTCGGTACCATAAGCTCTGTGAATTAAGTACCTATTAAGGTTTTAATGAATAGTTTTGTATGGAACTTATGGCACCGACTTCTAACCTATCAGTGGGTGGGTAACCTATTAGCACTAATAATAGTTATTTTTTGCTTTTTAGTTTTTATCACTTTGATATTCTAGGTGTATAATGTATAATATGTAGAAGTTACCTGAGTAGTAATTTTGATGTACCTACTTGTTTTGCAGATTCGCTGTGTCGCTCACTGGTGTGTAAGAAGCGCGAGGTTTGTGTTCTGCGGGACGCCTTTACTGCGCTCTGTGCCACCAAGAAGGATATCTTACGGCGAGGGTACCTACCCATCTTATTTATTAGTTTTTGCTGTTGCCCCACTTGCAGAACGATGATAATAAATTATGATGGTCGTTGGCCGTAGGTACAATATGTGCATTGTTTACAGTGACGTGATAGTGGCCGCGAGCAGCAGTGGCGGGGCGTGGGAGGGCGAGCGCGACTCCGGCCAGGCGGAGCGCGACGACAACGACGACGACGTCTTCTACGACACGGCTGTGCACGACACCGACGTCGACCCGGACCTGGACGCAGACGATGCCAAGCGGTGAGCGGTTCAAATACTTTATATAGGGCAACCGGATGCCGCGCAACGTGTCGCGCGTTCGATTCCCGCTCGGAACAACTATTTGTGTGATCCACAGATTGTCGTTTCAGGTCTGGGTGTCATGTGTATGTGAACTTGTATATTTGTTAACGCATCCACGACCACGACACAAAAGAAAACCCAAGTGTGGGCAATGTTTTCTTAAAAAAAGTTAAAAGTAAATTAAATTAAAGAAATTATAGTTAGATTCCACATACTATAATTGTTTCGGTGTGAAGTAGGTACTGTTTCATTCTCAGTAGGATGTCCAATTTTCTACTAGCCAAATTGCGCTTCTGATTTAATATACAAGCCCAAGTTATAAATAGGTATAAATAAACCATTTCAATAACTGACCACTATTTCTAAAAAATTTTCGAGTTTTTCCGGAAAGTAGAAGCCTACGCAAATTGACTCCACTTGGCGGAGAATAGACACGCCTGGGTTTTGTTGGCATTGAACTTGATTAAGTTGGCAACAGTCTAGTCGGAAACCACCTGAACCACCCTAAAGAACAAGTCCAAGCGTTCGACCGTGAACTCTGACAGAGACTAGATCTGCGTCATACTGGTTCGTGCTTCGGATACATGCCTCTCAACAACTGTGCTGGCAATATCATCTGCATGCCTAAACCCCGTATATTTAAGCAGCTCACTGATGTGCAGCTAAAAGTAGTAGTACAAGCCTTGTAGTACAAGTAGTCGTGGAGCGATGTGTGAGCGCGCGCTGTGCAGGTGCGTGGGCTGCGGCGGGCGCGCGCGCGCTCAGTTCCTGTGCGGCTCCGACAACCGCACGTACTCGTCGCTGTGCCGCCTCGACCTGCACAACTGCGTGCGGCGCGGCGCGCGCCCCGTGCGCCTCGCCTGCCGCGGCTTCTGTCCGTGCGCGCCCGCGTCCGGCGCCGCATCCCGCGCGTCTGGCGCCGCAACCCGCACACCCGGCGCCGCACCACGCGCGTCGGGCGCCGTGTCGCGCGTGCCCCGGCGCCGCGCCCGACTGCGCTCCCGCCCCGACCACTATGACGTAACTCTACTGTCTTTTGTATTAATCTAACACTGACGTGCATGTACTCGCGTTGGTCGAATGACTGTAAGCGTCGACTATAAGGACAGGGAGCTTAGGTTTAAAGTATCTACAGAATAAAATACAATAAATTGGTCATCTAAATCTATACAAAGTGTAGATTTGAAATCGTGGCACTACTCGAGGCATGTCACAGAAGTCATAAATATTCTATTTAATAAAATACTTATTTCTAAACAATAGTTTAGTTTAATACGGCTATAATAAATTGTTTAAGTTTGACAGTATAAGCGACAGCAATGTCAATAAAATAAACAGAGTCGCCCGACATGTCAATGTCTAGTCTACTTACCAAAACAATGACGTGTGCAATGGACCAATGGTCAATACAACGTGAAGGTCAGTGGGCGGGGCCAAGCGAGACATCGCACAAGTACCTATTCTACTTAAGAAAGCGAAAAATAATAATCTAGTACATACTTACCTACATTAATGATTTTTAATAGTATAGGTAATCGTGGAAGCAGAAATAATCAATGAAAGTACGTACCTATCTTCAAAGAAAAGTTCACGTAGGTATCAATGTTAGTCATCAGTTGTTTCATAACACTTTGTTATGCTTTACTTGTTAATTATATTACAATTCTGATAAAAAGTAATAATTCTAATGTTAGTCTGAATAATGAAAACACATACCTAGCTAAGGTAGGATTCAAGCGCTCAGCTGTTTGCGGGTATGATTTTAGGTATAAACGCATTATAAGTACGGTAAGTTCAGTCCAAAGTTTTATTCGTGTATTAAATTGGTTGATTTTAAATTTTCTTCCTTATGAATTCATATTCTGCGTAGATACCTACCTACATTAGTTATTAGCTGATTCATAATTCGTAATACTAAATGCATAACTTGTTGATTAGGTACAAACACGGTACAAACAATTTAAAGCGAGTGTACCGCAGTAATTTGGCAGTTTTCTAGTTGTCGTATTTTTATTTCTTCGTCCCAAGTAATTTTCATTATATCGGTAGGATTGGCGACGACGAAAATCTGAGGCTTCACACAATGAAGTATTACCGGAGAGGCAGTCCAGGCGGCGGCTCGCACAAGGTGACGGTTCTGATAATTATTATATTTATAACGTGTCAACTTGTCACGTTCAGACTCATAAAATTATTATTTATGTAAATTATTAGTAGGTACCTATTTTGTAGGTACTTCGTCGGATATTATGTTAGGTATGCATCGACTAGTACCATTCTAACTTCTAACATATTTGCAGGATCCGAAGGCTGCGCACTGGATAAAATGGCGAATCGACTTCTAGATTGGTTCTCAGTATTAATGGACGAAGCGGGGGCGACCGCACCACCGGCGGACGGTTAGTACCGCATCGACACGAGCCGAGGGAGCGACGAGTCCGGCGACAGCACTAGTGACGTCACGCTCGCCCGCAGGGTTCCCGCGCGACTGTAAGCCCGAGGTGCGCTGGATGTTCGCGCACCTCGACACCGACGGCGACGGGCTGCTCTCCGCCGCCAACCTGTACGCGCTGCGCCACGACGAGCGCGAGCGCTGCCTGCGCCCCTTCCTGGCGTCGTGCGCGGGCGCGGGCGGGGGCGCGGGCGCGGGCGCGGGCGGGGGCGCGGGGCTGGCGCGCGCGGAGTGGTGCGCGTGCCTGCGGCGCGCGGCGCGGCCGTGCCTGGCGCTGGCGCGCGCGCACGCGGGCGCGGGCGGCGGCGGGTACGTGCCGGCGTGCGACGCGCGCGGCTTCTACCGGCCGCGCCAGTGCCACGCGGCGCTGGCCGTGTGCTGGTGCGTGGACCCGCACGGCCAGGAGCTGCCCGGCTCGCGGACGAAGGGCGCGCCGGCCTGTCCCGGTGCGTATGAGTATGATGTATGAGACACGCCGACACCGGGAAGCGACCTGATCTGCCGTTGTTCCGGAAGTGTGAGCTCTTTTTATACCGACAAGGAGGTACAATGTTCAGATGTTTATTTTTTACTAGGTTTTACCCGCGGCTTCGCTCGCGTCACAAAAAGATAAAAAGCAGCCTATGTGACATATACCAAAACACATAGCGCCATCTATACCAATACTTTTGTTTTCCCTCAGGAATATCAAATTTTTCCGGGATAAAAAGTACCCTATTATTTAATCCAGACTTCTAACTTTACGTCTGCAAAAATTCAAAGCAATCGGTTTAGTAGTTACGGCGTGAAAGCGGAAAAAACAAACAAACAAACTCACTTTCCAATCTATACTATCTATACTAATATTATAAAGCCTGTTACGTATCTGTGCCGACACATGTACCTACACCGTGATCAACGCCGTGCCACGAGGACCATATATCTGCTGAATCAGGACATTACACCTACTTTGATGCAACGAAGTATTGCAACATCCAAACTGCTGAGTCGTCTCCTCATGTCACCGCCTCGTGTCCAGCTACGAATCGCTGCATCATCAATTACCCCACTAAATTTAACCTCAATAGGTTTTATTGAAAACCTTCTTTCGAAATAATTTTAAGAGAAGAAAGCAGTGTTGTTCTAACATCGAACGCATTCGCTCTTAGGTTAGTTAGATTTTTACGAGTTACGGAAGAGTTAACATGTAATTTTTTTAATTATAATAAACTTAATTTAATGATTATAGTTTTCATTTGCACCCTCTGTCGGTGGCAGAAACATAACTAGCTGAAGAGTTTGTTTGTTTGTTTGTTGTCTATTAATAGTAGCGACCTTGTGTTCTTGATTCATTTGTATTGATGAGAACTTTACACCTAAGTGGGGTGTAATTGTCAATAAGGGTCTGATGATGAAGGAGTACGATAGTTGAGGTACCTCCTCAACGGTTACCAGTAGCTATGTTGTGTTTGGGTTTGATAATTTGTATTGATGAGGACTTTACACCTAGATGGGATGTGATTGTCATTAAGGGTCTGATGTTGAAGTAGTACTACAGTTGAGGGAACTGCTCGGTGGTTACCAGTAGCTACCTTGTGTTTGGGTTTGATAATTTGTATTGATGAGGACTTTGCATCCATGTGAGATGTGTATAAACTAAAAAGTATAAAATAAAATTTAAAAACTGCGTTTAAAACAACCGACTTCAAAAACTAAAGACAAACGAAACTGATACTGATAGGTTAGAAGTCGATGCCACAAACCCATAATAAAGTAGTTAATGACATAGCTTTTATTGCTTTTTGCAGTTTGTATTAAATTAGTAGGTACCTTTACTAAACAATTGCATTGAAATAAATACTAGACAATTGCATCTTTACTAGAAATTGTCTAAGTGGCGCTGGCGAGTTATCGATTCAACATAAATCGATAAATATCGATATCGAATCGATAAGTTTACCGAAAAATACTTACGACTTTAATAGAAATGAAGTTTGCAAAAATAAAGTATTTTTGTGTACTTTATTATTCTTATAAAGTATAGAGTACAATTACCTTAAATAACGTAAGTACCATAGTTTATTATAAAGTACGGGTGGCAACCCTATGTGTAAGCTATAAGTACGTATCAGTACGTATGCTTTTCATTTGTCTTTAGTTATTGAAGTCGGTTTTTTTAAACGCAGTTTTTTAATTTTATAACATCTCTTTAATATGGGAATCTTGACGTATATACCTACTTATTATTATAATTAGATAAATGAATAGATATTTGTGAGCATTTCAATGGTTTGTTTGTAATTAACACATGGTGGGTTTGATTACAGGTGAAAAGTCTATGGCGGACGTGGAGGGCGGCGAGGAGGGCGAGGCGAGCGAGGCGGGCGAAGAGGGCGAGGCGGGCGCCCAGGGCGCGCCGGACGACGACGAGGACGGCGCGGGCAGCGGGGACGCAGAGCTGCATTTCTAGTCGCTCTACTAGCTAATTGTGAACCCTACAATTAGAAATAATTACTAAAACGTCGAGATCATTAAAGTATTTCATATTTATTTGAATATCATGATCAAAATTAGGTCTCTCCTTCTCTTTTAACCGGACATGGGTAGGTAGTAATAAACTAGACTCATCACGTAGATATTTTTCAAGGAAACTAAAAGTATCTAGCATCAATTAGATAGTTAGGTACTACGCCAAATCTCATACTTAACTAATCGAACGATTCGACTAATCGAATCCCTTATAATAATCAAAAGTTCTTTATCATCGTAGATAAAGTCATTATTAATTATTATTAACCAATTGATATAAACATTCGAGTTTTTAGACATATTGATTTTCTATTATTTCACATTCGGTTTGGTGAAAGTACATACCTATCTGATTACTCGGATTAGTACCTTCTCCTAAACGAACGCAAACCTGACCAAACCGCAGTCAAATTGTTTATTGAATGAAGTTGTTCGAGTAAGGTAGATGTACCATATTACGTAAGTGTACGTAATTCCGTAAATTTTCAGTTTAGGCCTAAAAATAAGAAAACTTGTAGTTGTATCAAAAAGTTATAAAATTATCTATTAAGTATGTAAAATAGAGCGTCAATTACATACGTTAAAAAGAACTGTAACCATCTTCGGCTCAGTTGTCACGTCCCCCTCGGTCAGCCTGCGCCAAACCGCCATAAAGGTAGTGTGTGTGTTGCGTACGCGTTAGCTACCGCGCGGATTTTCATAAGGATATTGCGAGTGATATGTAAGTATTTTCATAACTTCGTAATGTTATTATTTTTAAGGATTTTAAAACTAACTAATTGGTTACCGTTTCTAGTTACTTCATATAGTTTTAAGCGAGTTAATTGAAATTTTCTGATTGCCGCAATTACCTACACCAAAAACCAACCGTGTACATTATTACGTAACAATTACGGAATAGAGGAAAGAAAGGCGATTTTGTTTTTTGTAATTTGTCAGGAATGAGATGGGATAAGTAAACGATAAACGCTGTTACAGGTCTAATATATAACATAGTTTCTTGGAATCAAATTACGTATTACGATTTTATTTCTCTATGTTATGAAATACGTGTGTAAAGAGAAAACATTTTTGTACTTTAAACAGATTCGTCACAAGGGACATCGGTACATAATCATTAATTTGTTTAATTTTATTGTATTTTCTAGTATATTTTTTGATACCTATTACTAGCATGATTGCATTCCTATACAATTCAAGTCATTTTATGTTGTCAAGAAGAGTTACTCGTTAGAAATTTATGTTAAACTGACTACCGCAATTACCTACACTGTTTTTGGCTGAGTCTCTTATTACGGTATAAAAGTACCTGAGTGAGCTACTGCATTTTAATTTTTTACAGGTCAAAATGTCAAACAAAAAGTACTCCAACGAGGACCTTACCAAAGCTTTAGAGGATATAAATGATGGAACTATGACCATATATCGTGCATCGAAGGTATATAACATACCCAACCAGACCTTGCATGATAAAATTAAGAAAAAATACACAAAACAAGAGTCAGCAGGAGCTCCAACAGTCCTGTCATCGACAGAAGAAGGTTTGTTGGTAAAATGGGTACTGCACATGGCCGAAATTGGATTTCCAGTAACTAAAGACCAACTGCTACACTCAGTAGCTAAATTACTTATAGGGTTGAAACGACAAAATCCATTCAAGGACGGAGTCCCTGGCAGACATTGGTACGAGGCCTTTCTGAAAATAAACCCAATGATAAGCAAGAGAGTATGTCAAGCATTGACTACTGCCCGTGTAAACGCTACTGAAGAAAAAATAAGGGGCTGGTTTCAACGAGTCCGAACATATTTCGAAGACAACAATCTCATGGCTGTGTTGGAAGACCCTGCACGCGTGTTCAACTGCGATGAGTCTGCCTTCTTTTTGTGTCCGAAAGGTCAACCAGTCCTTGCTAGAAAAGGGGTGAAAAATGTTCATTGCCGATCTGGTAATGATGATAAAGAAAATCTAACGCTCTGTCTCGGCGCGTCCCCCTTTAACTTTTTCTACACTTATAAAATAAAGTTGTTTTATTTATAACACGTCACATTAAATTTATGCTTTATATTTTATGTAATCCTGCAGAATAACGGCATTTTTCTGCATATGCCGGAATTACCAGCACCCATTACGGAATTACCTGGAGAGTCAAATTTTATACCGTAATAACGGACATTTACGAGGTTCAGAAAAATTACGATTACTTTTGTAAAATAGTTTAATTACATTAGTGTTACATATCAATCTCTTCTCTGAAAACCTCTTTTTACGACTAAACTAAAATCAATACGCTGATTTTTTCTGCTTTACTGGAAATTGCTAGGAAAGGCAAAAATGCCTTAGTACTCCGGAATTACGTACATTTACCTTAGGTATTGAATCAATTGCAACCTCGCACTCACCGCCTCAGCGCCTGAAGCGGCCAAACTGATGACGGCACCAATACCAAACCAGTGCGTAGGTTCATATATATATATATATGTAAGCGCGCAACAGCAGGAGCACAAGATGATTTCATGTGATGTTATGCTTATCAGTTTAGATATTCAGGTCCTTTGCTATATCTGCACAACTATCTTATATGTACCTATTATAAAATTGAATTAATTCAACGACAGCTACCACACTCACCACCGTTATCCATACGTACGGATCCAGAATAATATTACTACCTACATTTGTTGTGTGTAAATAAGTAAAGAAATTTTAACTGTAAAATAACGCAAGTATAATTAAACTTAGTCATACATAAATATTACATAAACATTATCAAATGTGTATTAGCACGTAAGTTTTTAAGAAGGGCCTGTTTCGTGGACACCCACGATCTGTTCGTACATAGATAGTCCGTAGTCGTACTAGACGTGGCTGTGTTACACGGTACAGGCCCGTCTTACTTTCAGAATGCTTCCGTTGCCAAGACCCCGCTAAATCGTAATTAGTAGGTAATGGAATGTTCTTACCTAATTAGGCAATAATTATAATTAAATATTACCTGTTACCGTACAATAACGTAGATTTTGCCTTTGTTAGAAATTCAAACAGCATAGGATAATAATTATGCCACGGTTATACACATTTATATATAAATACTTAGGTACCTATTGCTGCTTTTCTTAACTACTTATTTAGTACCTGCGTACCTAGGCAACAATGACAAGATGTAACTAGGTAGGTACTACATATTCGACTTGGTCATGGTTACTTGAAATAAAACCACTGTTACTGTGCTATATAACCATGTGACCGCCATGCCACCGGCTCCCGTGGATACAATCTGTTTAACCGTGATCACTTTTGTTTTGTTACTTTGCTATGTTCCGTTGCAACACTGCAAATAATTTGGCCTAAGAGAATAGATAATGTATTCTATTCATTGATATGTAACCGTCCCCCTAAACATCTGCAACTGTTTAAATAATAATTAGTGTAGAACTAGATCACTACAAATGTATCTAGATGTACCTACCTAAGTAGATACTCGCCTATCTACTTAAGTAACTACTTTTTCAAATGCAAATTTATAACGACAAAGGAAGAGAAAATACCTGCAATTGTTTAACTGATTGATTACAAATAAAATTAATTATTGTTTATTTATTCAGAAGTACCTACCTACATGATTTACCTTTACGGCTTTCCAGGGCCAAACTGGATCAAAAGACCAGCCTCTCTTGATGCCAGCTTGACGATGATAACGACAAAACATTATTTGAATAGAGCACGACACTAAAAACACACCTTAGGTACTGTCTTACAGTCACATACTTGATGTTTGATCGTTTGCAACATTCAGGGGGTTAGATTTTATGAACCTATTTTGTATTTTTTTTTTCTGTGAATATATTTTGAAGTGTAGCAGGAAATACTGCTATGTCCGGCAGTAATTATTAATTTTTAATTGTTTACAAAATTTCCTAACACTACATAATTATGGTACTACGTTAAAATCAGTCTTCAATGTAAAGCCCGGTATGTACCTACCTGAGATAAGGCTGTGTCGGCCGGCCGGCTCGATCGGAGTGATACCACGGCCGAGTAGAAAAACGTCGTGAAGCAATGACTGCGTTGTGTTTCTTCGTGTGAGTGAGGTTACTGGAGGCCCAAATAACCCCTCTTCCAAAGTCAAAATCATTTATTTCAATTAGACCAGGAAGGCACTTTTGAACGTCAACACAAAATATTTAAATATTAAATACTTAATAAGAAAAAATGTCAGTCTGTAGGTCAGTCCTAGTGAAGCTGCTCGTTCCAAAGTGTAGATTCCTATGTTCTCCATCTTTCTCAACTAGCAAGAAACTCCGTAGGTTACTCTTTTTCAATCATGTTCACAATACAATTTTTGGTTACATTCTTTCGTTGAGTTTAATTATGTGAGAACAATGTAATACCAATATTTGGTGAAGGACACGGAAAAAGAAAATAACCTTGAGGATAACATACAGTCTGGAGCTGACCAGTCCCATTTGACAGCGCCCGTTCACGAACATGACACGTACACCAGCACCGCCCAACTCAACCATGTTGTAGGGAATCGAGCGATCCACTGCCCGTGCCACTGCCAATGAGACTTGAGTGAGCATGACAACTCCAAGCTGAATTCCCAATCCCTGAATCCCCAACAATCCTTAAACTCTTAATCCCCAAAAGGCCTGTAAACCTGTAACTCACTTGTAATACCTCTGGTGTTCAACCGGGAACGGATGAATCCGGATGACACGGAACGCGCGCTGATTGCTTAAACGCTTTTACCATCAGGTGACCCGTCTGCTCATTTACCGGCTTATCCCATTAACAAAAGATTTTATTTTTTCAAGATAATAAAATAAAAATAGCCTTTATTCTACCACAAAACATGCTAACAATGTTCCAATTATGATATTTAGTTCCAATTATTTAATTTAGTTTAGGGGAGATGGGGGAATTGGGAGTCACTTAAGGAAAAGTCATTATTATAATCACAAATAATCAGTCTTATATTGTTTCCATTATTACTAATCCTTAAAAATTAATCAGGTATCGAAACATATAAGTCTTTTTTGGCTGTCATTAACATGAACAAAATTATAATTAAAAAACAAAAAAGTTGTTTTGACTCTAGTTACCCACATGTAAGGGAAATGAAAGTCAGCTCATGGGGGAATAAGAGTCAAAATTATAAAAGAAATAAAAAGCAACAAAATTAAAAATTAGAAATGATTGCACAATGGAATCAGAACAAAATTAATATTTAAAATCGAGTTAAATGCAAAAATCACAGCGATAGCGACTTGGATCATCACATCCTGTACATGCCTCATGGGCCCATCCTGCACAGAGGCGGCATCGGTACCAGATTTCTCTCGGCTTTCCCTCTTCAAGGCATATGGCGCATACAGACTGTTCACGTTCGTTCTGGAAGTTTTGCTGGATGTTTAGTGGGATTTCAATATTTTCCAAGTCACTCTCAACATATGGAACCTGTTCATCAGCCGATTCTTCAGAGGAGCTTGACTTAAATAAGTTCTTTTTTACTTCTTTTATCTTCTTAATACAACTCGCTTTGGTGGTCTTCCTAGTCCAGTTCCTTGGCATCTGAAATGAAACAAAAAGTTTTATCATAATAAAAAACGATGCGGGGAATGGGGGTCAATTGACTTTCATTACCCCAATGACGGTTCGTTTGTTAAATTTGAATTAATATACAAAAAACATTACAAAATCGAGTATTTTACATTAATAAACATAAGTTTAGTTACAGTAATACATTTTAAGATTATTTTATCAGCAAAATAAACAAATATAGATACTCACGTTTTCGGTCGAAATTTCGGAAATTTTACAACGACTCCTCCCCTGCAACACGTGCGTTGCTCACGGCGTCGCGAGCGTCACTAGCGGGTCGGCGTGTTGGGGAGTGCGGGAGGGGTGCCCAGCTAAGCCCTATGCTACATAGCCGTATTCCGTAAAGCTTAAGGTTCATTTCTTTTTGAACTGACCCTCATTGCCCACTGACTCTCATTCCCCCCGGCTCCCCTATTCAATTTCATCAATTTCTTTGCCTATGTATATTGTATTTTATTTGTTTTATTAAATAAATATTATTATTTCTAAAACATGCAATTAATGTATTGTGGAAATACAGGTTCAGCCATATTTTACCATTTAAATATGCAAATGATATAGGTACGTAGTGACTGATAGTGAAATGCATTGGATAATGTTTTACATTTTGCGCGTGAAATGTGACGTCACCAAGTTTAGGATCTCCTACCCCCTAGTACTTTTTCTTTCTTTCTTTCTTTCTAGTCATACTTGGTCGACCCCCTCAAAGTGTGACGTAATTTATGGATGAACTAGAAGTTAGAAGCCATTGTTATCGCATATTTTATGAAGGTTAGTTACCTTACCTCCTTTTATAGTAAAATTGTATTGGAAAGTTCACGACCATGATATGACTATGACGGGCAAGAAGCTGGGAAGAATTTATAAATCTCAATGCACGGATTTTTAAAGTAGGAAATAGGAATCTAAATAAAATGTACCGAAGTAAATAGGTAGGTATAGTTGTACCTAAACAACGTAAAGGCTTCGAGCGATTTTGGCCCAACATGAAAAAAGACGGGACTAATGTCTTCTTATCTACGTTGGTATTCTTTTATTGCAAGAACTCAAGACTCACTTAAGAAACATGTAGGTAAGCAATAGTTTAGCAACTAATATTCTTGTTTAATTGTTGTGGGTTAAAAGTAGCCTATGTGTTATTCCAGATCATAATGTACCCTATTGCCAGTTTCATCCCGATCGTTTCAGCCGTGTTTGCACAAATGAGTAACAAACACAATACACATATATCCCACAAACCCTCATTTATAATATTGAGTAGTAAGTAGGATAACATATTATTATTGTCATGCGTTGTTAAGTAAGTTACTAATTTATTATAGTCAATACAAAAGTATTGATGATAATAAGTTACTGCAATCAGCAGAGCGGTTAACTTTGGGTTGAAGAAAATGTCAATAATTTATTTTTTTTTAAAAAAAGCTTAAATACGGTCGAATTGAGAACCTCCTCCTTTTTTGAAGTCGGTTAAAAATTATTGAGCAATCTCCAATCTTTGGATTTTTGATTTTGAAAAATTCTCCATAGATATTACCGTCAGTCCGACAGTACAGGCTGGTATTTAATTTGTATAGAATAGACCTGTAACTGGCGAAGTATGGCGTATCAGATAGTCAGGTGTGTGGCGCATCTTATATTACACGCTCCTGCTCTCCGAAAAGGGCCCAGGCGCAATTATCTTATGAATATTTTGTAACTAGATTTATTTAATAGATTGATAATTATTCTAAATTATAAGCTAGTAAGTACGTACAAATAGCATTTAATCACATTTGTTAGAAGATTATTTGCACTTTTTTAAGTCTGTCACTGTACTCTAATAAATGAATAAACCTTATTGATTTTTCTTTACATCAATACATAAAGTTAACTATGTAGCTACCCATGTATGAACATTTATCTCTGTAATGGAGAAATAGACGAGATACTTTTGATAGTTTTCAAAGAAAACTGTGAGCAAACCTGAACTTAGTTTGAAATCACCAACTTGCCTGCATGGTGATTAATGCTCATCTTATCTCCGTGAGAAGAGGCCTGTACCTATTGATGTTGTTCCTGTACGATGGAGTTTCTTGCTCCATCTTCATTTCAAACTATAACTATACCTCATTATAACTAAACATAACTATATAATGAAGTGCTCATTACTAAGTGTAGTTTGACTGAAAACCAGGCAGGTGGGCTATTTGATTTCAAAAGTGCTTGGATTCATAGAAAAATAAGTTATTGCTTTGACTTTGTTAACGTCTTGTATGACATGGCTCCGGTATATAAGACACAATAGAAAATACATTGGTCTATGTATCTGTGCTTCGGTTTCAACTTGGTTTACTAAAAAGCAATTTTTTTTATGGAATAGGAGGCAAACAAGCAGACGGACCACCTGATGTTAAGCAATCAGTGCCGCCCATGGACACCCATGGCAACACGAGAGGAGTCACAGGTGCGTTGCCAGCCTTTCAAAAAATGAGTATTTTAAGGTTAAACTACATTAATCTCACTCAATTGCTTTGAAAATATGAAATACTTTATTTTATTTATTTACACTTCTGTATATTATAACATACTATGGCGGACTTAATGCTGGGTGGCATTCGACTTTAATGTAACATTAGAACCATTTGGAGCCATGTCATAATTGTTATTCTTTAGTATATGGTTTCCTTGTCTGAATAAAGTAAGACTATAGTATAAGTTGCAGCATACTTCTATTATCATTCTAAGTACCTATAAGATAACAAATACACCAGTTAACACTATGTTTTATATGCTGATGAAAACATTATTAAATAAATTCTTACTATTACGTATAGGTTATTTAACGATATTCTAATACTCACACTCTAAGGATAAAAAAAAACAAGAGTCAAATAAACATTGCTTAATGATTATAATTACATGATCTAAATAAATATACAATGTACTAGGGTAGCATAGATTTACTTTTCTTCTTCGTCTTTAAACTTTCCTCCATAAAATGGGATGTTGGCGCAGAACAGCTTCCAATCCGTGAAGTAGAGAAGACCAGTGAAAGCCGCACCTCCAAAGCCGACGGCTGACGTAGCGAAAGACGCTGCGATTTCAACGTGTTTCTTTCCCAAACGACCCAACATTTTGTTCAGTATATGATTGCGTTTTAATCTTTGAAAATGTATCGCACTTTTGTGGTTACGTAAATCTGTACTAACTACAGTTCCTTCCTTCTTCAAGTCAGACAGTGACACTTGACAGTGGTTGATTGACATTTGATGGTATGACATTTGACAGTTGACACTAATAGTTGAAAATAGTGAAAGTGTCATGGTCATGGCGCATCCGTGTACTTTGGTCTACTACTTCACTTTGGTCCCATTTAATCAAGGAGGAAAGAAAAACCTCTTTAAGAAATATTAAGAATGTTACCGCCAAACAAGACAGGGGACAGAAACTTACGATAAAACATGGTAAAATCAAGTTTGTAGAGTTAATTTAATTTATTTATTTATATTTAGTTTAATTTTTTGCTTTACAACATGTATTACAGTATGACCTTGATTTTTGTTGTTTTTTAGTCTTTTTATTTATTCGTTTAGTTATAGTAATTTAAGTTGTTAATATTTATGAAGTTATTTAAGTTTTATTTCTTGAATAAAAATGTTTAACTTTAAAAAAAAATGGCTGTCGCCAGGAACCTAAATCACTACTATACTTTTAAAATGTTAAAAATGACAAGACATTATCACCTACATAATAATTATGTCGTAACAAATTATCCGTTAAAAATACATAATTACAATAAAAAAATGTAGTATACAGTGATTATTATGCAAAAAGAGTATATCTCTTTTTGTAAGATTACGAATTTTTAGAACGTTTCAATATCTGCCATTAGGTTAGGGCCTAGTAGTAGGTGCGTAGAAGTACTGGTCTGTATCCCAGTATACCCCAGAGCACCAAGCCTATACGCATTGTACGCTAGGCAATTATAGGATAGGATATTATAAGTGTTAGATTAGCTAGGATAATGTTGGATAACGTTAGCTTGTAGTCATTAGGATTAGGTAGTTCCTGTACAGTAGGAGTGTGGCGTCAAGCTACTATCCCGCTGTACACACTGTAATTTGTCTTTGGCATTTGTGAATGACAAATTGAAATGTCAAGTTAATGTCAATGTCAGTTTTTAAAAGTAAACTCAAATTTACTATTAGAAGGGCTGTGTAAATAAATATATAATTATTTTTAGTTAAATTTAGAGATTAGTGTTGCAAAACATAGCTCGACTTCGTCTGAGGTAGTGTACATAGCAAGAGTTCGTCTTCGCATTGAAGGTTCGGTCTAAATCGTGCAGTACTGCGGCGGCGGCGCTACCGCAATCAATCACGGTGTTCGCAATGTGGGATTCGTCAGCGTTCTTGGGTGCGCTGACACCCAAGTTCTACGTCGCACTCACGGGCACCTCTTCGTTGATCTCTGGGCTAATCCTGATCTTCGAGTGGTGGTATTTCCGCAAGTATGGCACGTCATTCATCGAGCAGGTGTCACTCACGCACCTCGGGCCGTGGCTGGGCGGCGGCGGCCCGGCGCCGGAGCCGGACGCGGCGGAGTGCAAGGTCTGGCGCAACCCGCTGTCGCTGCTGCGCGGCGCGGAGTACGGGCGCCTGTGGAGCGCCGCGCGCCGGGCGCCGCTCACGTACTACGACATGAATCTCTCGGCGCAGGAGCATCAAGCTTGGTTCGGCTGCGGAGCTGAGGTATTGCTCTTGCCCACCTGATGTGATGTGCTGACTAGCCTGTACTTGGTTAGGACATCCTGACACACATGCTAAGCATATTTGCTTCAAGGATAGATATTTGCTTTTGGAGTAGTATTAGCATTATTTGACTACTGCATGGATGGCACAGTGGTTGCTGAGAAACGTGTTGCGGGTTCGATTCCCCTGCCGGCCAAAACGTAACAATGGGATTTTCTGAGCAAAGTGACCATTGTTAACTCGAAGTCAGGAAATTTGGCGGTGTTTCACCCTGATCTCTTTGAAAAGTGAACTCATGTTTTTTTTTTTTTTGTTTTGATAAAACGTTGCCCCACACTAGGATTTTCTCCTGTGTTGTGGGTGTGTTTACAAACATACAAGTTCACATACACAATGACACCCAGACCCGGAACAACAATTTGTGGATTACACAAAGTGTTGTCCCGTGCGGGAATCGAACCCGCGACACGTTGCACGGCAGCCGGTTGCCCAGCCACCGCACCAACCGTGCAGTCAAACATCAATGTTATTGATGTATTGTGTGCACACAGTATATTAAAGGTAAATTCTAAAATATTACTGTATCATCAAATAGTGGTTTTGTACAAATTTTGGCAATTAGTGTATAGATAATTAAAAATGATAAATTGTTTACTTTAATTGAATTGTGGAGTAGTCGCAAGCATAACTGTTAGGTCCTTACTCAAATTATCAAGCAATATTGAAAGTGCTGAGTAGTTACTAGCTAGGAGTATGGCATTCTGCCTGGTATGTGAACATGTAAACCTGTGCCTGCCACCTCCTTTGCATAAATAAACTGTTAGTTTGCTCAAATTAATTATTACAGTTTAATGCAATTTTTCTGCAAAGAAACTTCTTTGTTATTACAACAATCAAACAGACTACTATGCTATGTGTTTGACCAATCTGCATTTTGTATTGCACGTTGAGAAATGTTTTTTGTTTGAATGAATACATTATTATCATAAATACCAAATTTTATTTTTCTGCATCCTTTTTAAGAATACTATGTCAAATTGGCACAGGCAATGCATTAGACAATAGTTACTTCTACCTTTTTCGTTTTATTTCTACTACTTCCTTCCCTGAAAAAGTGTCAATCATTAATTGTAATTCTATAATCATAAGGATTATTTCTCAAATCACCTTGCAAGCAATGTTGCTCATATGAGTTCAAGACATTGTTGTGTTATAGAACTGATGATTTGGGTTATTGGAATCAAACAGTAAAGACTATTTTTAACTAAAGCATAGGTTTTAGTATAAAATAACATGCGAATCGGTAAGAATTAAACAGCGGGCGGTCCGGTCCTCGGCAGGGCCCTGCGGAGGAGGCCATGGCGCGCGCCTGGCGCGAGCGCGAGCCCGGCGCGCGTGTGGCCGCCGCGCGCGCCGCGCTCGCACTGCGCAGCGACTGCGCCGCCGCGCTGCTGTTGCTGGCCGAGGAGGACGCGCCCACCGTGCACGAGGCCGAGCGCGTGCTGCGGCGCGCCTGGCGCGCGGCCGAGCAGGCGTGGCGCGCCTCGGCGGCGGCCGGCGCGGCGGCCGAGGCGCGGCGCGACGCGGCCGTGCTGGCGCACGTCAAGCGGCGCGCGGCCATGTGCGCGCGGCGCCTGGGCCGGCTGCGGGACGCGGCGCGCCTGTTCAGGGAACTAGCGCGCGACGCGCCGCCCGCGCTGCATGCGCTGGCGCTGCACGAGAACCTGATCGAGGTGTTGCTGGAGCAGAAGGCCTACGCCGACGTGCAGGTCGCTATTGACTCTTCGATCTCTTTCGCATGCAGCGTGATTACGCGTTCTGACTTCCTAATTATACGGTGTTCGGTGTACTATTAGCGACTTATTTCATCTTTAATAATACACCGGCACTTGTAACTCCTGGTGTTGCACTGGGTGTCATAAATGGTAAAATGTAATCTCGAATAACGTGGCACCACCACTAGTTTGTTACGTTACCGCGAATAACGTGACGCCGTAGCGAAGTAGCGACGCATCGACTATTGCCATGCAATTTCGAATAATCAAATCTCGAAAATTCAGTAGGTATTCTCAATCACTTGACCATGAATGCGCGCTTTTCCGAAAAGCACATGTGTCAAGGCACATGATCTTCTTCAACAAAGTCTGTAATGAAAAAACAAAATAAATAAATAAAATTAAACAGTATTATTGACGTAAGAAATATATTCATTTAATTATATTACTGATTATATTTTTTTCGTTATTCGATTCGGTGAACTTGTTTATCACATAAAAAAGTAAATTATTGTCACTGCGCACTGCATGTAGACCAAGGCTGTCCAAACTACATTATATCCTTGCGGAATAATTACATTTCTTACGAAAGCTGGAGGGCCAGAAAAATATGTTCAGTTGTATAATGACGTTTTACATTATATTCTTTACTCACAGAAGTCACAGACAAAACTTGTATACAAATCATACACTGACTTTTATTACTTGCACATAAGACGAAGATGTTGAGATTAAAACGTGTGTCGCGGGCCACATGTAAACAAGCCATGTAAGCAACCGCATGCGGCCCCCGGGCCTTTGTTAGGACAGCTCTGATGTAGACCAAGACACTTCGGGCGTCGGGGATCGCGGGACGATCTCCGGCCACCGTAAGCGCGGGCCTGCGGACGGCGAGCATGGGTGACTCGCCGCCTGACCAGAACCAGACCCGAGGGTACGGCGCCGAGCGTTCCGCGCGCGCCTCAAAGAGCCATCATACCATCTCGGATGGGGCCCGATAGAGCTGATGCCGATACGGAGTCGCGGAGAACCTAACGGCTTACCTGGGCTCCGGTTCAAAGTGCAGGAGTAGGAACGGGGTGGTTTTTAGTCAATAAGAGTCTGACACTCCCCCTCCCCCAGGCGGGAGAAGTCATTCGATGATTTTCCCCCTAAAAAAAAAGCCCTAGGAGCCTAGGAGATTTGAGAAACAATTCGAGAATGTAGATACTGACCATGCGACGCAGGCGGTGCTGGCGCGGTACGACGACGTCGGCCTGCCGCGCTCCGCCTGCGTCAGCTACACCGCCGCGCTACTGCGCGCGCGCGCCGCGGCCGCCGCCGCCGCCGCCGGCCCGGCCGCGCGCCAGGCCGCCGAGCTGGCCGCGCTCGACGCCATGCGCCGCGCCATCGACTTCAACCCGCACGTGCCCGATTACCTGCTAGAGCTGCGCCCGCTCACGCTGCCGCCCGAGCACGTGCTGCGCCGCGGCGACAGCGAGGCGCTGGCCTACGCCTTCTTCCACCTGCGACACTGGCGCGCCTGCTGCGGCGCGCTGCGCCTGCTGGGCGCGGCGTGGGCGGCCGCCGAGCGCGGCGCGGGCGCGGGCGCGGCGCCGGCGGCGGCGGACCGCGAGCTGCTGCCGGCGCACCACGCGGGGTCGGGGCTGGCGCGGCGGCGGGCGCCGGCGCTGCTGCCGCTGGCGGCGGCGCTGTGCGCGGCGACGGCGCTGCTGGCGCTGCTGGCGCACCGCTGGCCGGCGCAGGCGCACGCGCTGGCGCGGGCGGCGGCGGCGGGGCTGGACCCGCGCCGCTTGCATACTCTGCTGGCCTGTGTGTGAAGAGCGCGGACGACCTGTTTGCATTTAATATATACTAATAATAAAGTCTTAATCGCCTATTTGTAATGCTTATTATTTCGTTATTTATACAGTGTACTTGGCGCATGGACCGAAACAATTTTTTTCATCATTAGCTATCTTTTACCCGAAAATCCTTTGCCTTAACCGTCACGGTTGGTCACATGAGATTTTTTTCTCTTCTTACAACATTTCCTTTAACTCGAAATATTTTTTTTTGTTTGTGGGTCTAGTGGTCCAAAATTATATTCTATCATGTAAGTACTCCAAAGTCTATTAAATCTAAATATGTGTTTCTTTGATACGAGTGGTTTAAAAAAATTCATACAAGCTTCCAAAGTTTAGTTTGTCATGCACCTCTGTGAGGATCATGGGCACTTTAGTATGAAAGTTCAACGAACAGACATGAAATATCATTTATTGATAAGTATGCGATTGTCGAGAAAATCACACTTCAAATGTTGACAATTAACGTTATGAATTCTTCATTTCGTTTATTGGGGAAATATGAGTTAAAACAAGTGCATACCTAGTTTTTAAATGCTATACCTAATCAGTGTACATAATACTTGACTTAACATATTAAACATGACTCGTTTAAGTAACCCCGAACGGATACACAGAAATATACAATTATAATAAAATGACCTGATGCAAGTTATGTGAATATTTACATAATTATATTAAGGACGAATCTGTTACTATTATACCTACTCTGCGTACAATTACAGACTTTGTTAGTGCTTGGTAAAAATATTTTTAATGCCTATTCCAACCAAGAATTGAACCTAAGACCATTGAAATGCTCAGAATTCAAAATTCTTAAGTAAAATACTAAAAAATGGAACGTTTACCCCTCCTCGGAATAGTGGTCGCAAGTGTTGATTTGCCTCTGAAGAGCCGAGATCACGAGTTTGAAACCGGGCTAAACTAAAATCACTATTGCTACATACGCATGTATATCTGATAAATGATAACGTTATCAATATTCCAGAGACTGCAACTGTGGTATTGTGATAGACTCATTCCGCACGTCATTCTCCTCCTCGTCTAAGTCCTCATTCTCATTCTGGTTATAATTTGGTGGGAATCGCTGTTAGTGAGAACAGCATTGCCTATAAAATGCTAAGATGCCTTCTGCTGTACTTTTTTTTATATGGCATAAGCCGGTAATCGAGCTAATGGATCACCTGATGGTAAGCAATCGGTGGCGCCCATGGACACCTAGAACACCAGAGGCGTTACAAGTGCGTTACCGGCTTTTTGGGGATTAGGAGTTTGAGGATCATTGGTGATTCAGGGATTGGGTAGATTGGGGAAGGGAGGGGGTAATTGAGCCTCCGGTAACCTCACTCACACGACGAAACACAACGCAAGCGTTGCCTCACGTCGGTTTTCTGTGAGGCCGTGGTATCACGCCGGTCAAGCCGGCCCATTCGTGCCGAAGCAAGGCTCTCCCACAGTTAAACTAGTAAAAAAGTACTTGTGGAAGTCCGGCTTAAAGTTGCGGCACATGCACCTGTGTGAGCTGTAATATTTAATAACTGTATTGATCGTGGTGTGTTTCCTAATCGTATGAAGAAAAGTAAAATGACTCCGTTATTTAAATCTGTCTTCTGACCTCACTAACTTTAAACCTATTTCAGTGCTACCTACATCCAGTAAAATTTTTGAAATAATAGTTTAATATAATATATGTAATGCGAAGTAATAGTTTAATATATGTAATGCGAAGACTTTTTTATACGAAGAAACAATTACACAGAAAACTGTTTGGTTTTACAAGGGGTCGTTCAAAAAGCGAGGCCAGTGATGAACTTGTTAATCATATAATACATGACGCATGGGAGGACTCAAGCGACGTTTTGAGAATATTTTTAATTTGTTCATGATCTTAATGATCCGTTGATCAGGAAGCTATCCCATAATGGCATGCAGGGTGCCTCTCTGGACCTTCTTACGTCATACTTTAGTGGCAGGGTTCAACGAGTCGAGTTAAACGGAAAGGTTTCTGCCGGATCTGTTGTCAGGATGGGTGTTCCGCAGGGATCAATACTCGGCCCGTTTTTATTTTTTATTTATTTGAATAACTTACCCTACTTTGTAAGTGATGACCATGAGTTAGTGTTGTTCGCTGGTGATACCTCGCTCTTATTTCAGCTTAAACGGTGACAATCGGCAAGCTGTGCTCTCCCAAAAATAGTACTTACGCTGGTTTAGTGCTAAAGACTTATTATTAAAAAAACCGAATTTAAAAAAACCAAAATATAATAACAAACAAAAAGTCAAAACTAAAAAACTGACTTCAAAAACTAAAGACAAATGAAAAGTAAAAACTAAAAAAGGAAAAGAATAATTTTTTGATTTGGTCACAGGTACTTATTGCTTACACACCCACGGATATGTTAGAAGTCGGTGCCACAAGTTTTAAACAAAATTATTTATTAAAACCTTAATAGATACTTAACATTATTAAGCTGTTTACAATTTTATTATGGACTAGCTGTGCCCCCGACCTTGTTCGCGTGGTTGTCTGAAACAAAACTACATCGTTTAGATAACTACATATAAACTCCACTCAAGAAGGTGGTATAGTATTTTTGTTGCCAATAGAGATCCTGACTAATATATTTTAATTTGGTAACATTGGTAGGTATAGTTGATGACGTTAATGGTTCCCTATATACTATATTAGCGGTGGAATTACCCGGAGAATATACAAAAAGGTTGTTGTTCTTTTCTCTCAAAAAAAAAAATATATCGAAAATATCAAAGTATCATAGGTACATAACCAACAAAATTTTAAAGAGCGGTGCGTGGTTGCGTCTTAACGAATTGGCTATACTCACTGTAACGATTGGCACTGTTCAAACTCAAAAGTAAATACTTCTACTAGTTTTAAATATCAAGTATGTATAGGTACTATCTTTACTTCGGACTTCAAACCAATGACCAAACGAAACCAAATTTCAGCCAATACTTTTTCGACCAAATTAGAACAACATCAACTTTCCAAGAACCATAGACCTTTTACGACACACTCAAGAACTTTTAAGACACCAAACTATACTCAATCGCTAAAGGAAACACTGTACCTACGATCTCCGGCCACCGTAAGCGCGGGCCTGCGGACGGCGATGGGTGGCTCGCCGCCCGACCAGAACCAGACCTGAACGTACTGCACGTCGCGCGCCTCAAAGAGCCACCAGACCACCGATGAGGCCCAATAGGGTTGATGCCTATACGGAGCCGCGGATAACCTAAAGGGTTACTGGGGTTCCGGCTCGAAGGGCAGGACTAGGAACGGGATGGTATTTAATCAGTAAGCGTCTGACACTCCCTTCCGTCTCACCCAGGCGGGAGCAGTCATTCAATGATTTTCCCTACGTAAAAAAGAAAGAGTGAACCACAGGAGTGAACCGATTTCGATGAAACAAAAACTAAGTTATTCCTCAAGTTGCGTAGAATTTTTGTTTATAAGTATTGTCTGCATTGAATTCGTACATTTTACGTGATGCACGCACAAACGTTTGTTTGTATTTTATATGTTTATATAAACAGACAAACGGGCAAAAATGTCAAAAATGATGGAAATGGGTTCTGTTAGTTATACACGCTGGCTATTTCTTTTTTGTCAATTTCTTTTCTACAGAGTTATTTTATGTAAGTACCTATAGATAGATTATACCAGCTGTGACCATTAACTACTTTATATTTTGTTATGGGTTTGTGGCACCGACTTCTAACCTATCAGTGGGTGTGTGAGCTATAAGTAGGTACGTATGACCAATAATAGTTAATTTTTCCTTTTTAGTTTTTACTTTTCGTTTGTCTTTGTTATTGAAGTCGGTTTTTTCAAACCACGGCTTCACAGAAGACCGACGTGGAACAACGCTTGCGTTGTGTTTCGACGTGTGAGTGAGGTTACCCGAGGGCCAATCACAGGATTTTTTTTTTTTTTTTTAAGGTGGGAAAATCATCGAATGACTGCTCCCGCCTGGGTGAGGCGGAATGGAGTGTCAGACTCTTACTGACTAAAAACCACCCCGTTCCTTCTCCTGCACGTCGAACCGGAGCCCCGGTTACCCGTTAGGTTCTCCGCGACTCCGAATCGGCATCGGCCCTATTGGGCCCCATCTGTGGTGGTCTGATGGCTCTTTGAGGCGCGCGCGGAACGCGACGCGCCGTACGCTCGGGTCTGTTTCTGGTCGGACAGGGAGCCACCCCATGCTCGCCGTCCGCAGGCCCGCGCTTACGGTGGCCGGAGATCGTCCCGCGATCCCCGACGCCCGGTGTGTCCTTCGCGATGGCTGGGTTGCGAGGAGGCAGCGCTTCGCTGCCTCACGCGTCCCGCCTCCTCCTTAGCTAGCATGACTGCTTCGCAAAAGGAGGAGGCGGCATCCCAGTCCTCCTCGCTCCGCATCATGGCCTGCACTAGGCCCGGACGCGAGAGGTCGCCATCGCCGATCACTTCCCTGAGGGCACGGCGGTGCTCAGCCCACGCAGGGCATTCCGCTACGGTGTGTTCCACCGTGTCCTCAGGGCGGCCCTCGCAGTGATGACACCCGGGCGTTTCCTCCCGCCCCATCAGACACAGGTACCTCCCGAAACTTCCATGTCCGGTGAGGACCTGCGTCAGGCGGTAGGTGAGGACGCCGTAGCGTCTCTCAAGCCACTCCTCAAAGAGGGGTCTTACCGCTGCAATGGCAGCGAGCCCAAATCACAGGAAATAGAGATACACCAACAACGGTCCAAGTAACAATTCATGTACGTGCTACAATTTAGAAATAATAATAGTGTGAGTGAAGAAAGGCAAAAATATTTATGGAACAACTACAGAAGAAAAAGAGGGGTATAAATTGGGACTCCTGATGAAAAAGTCTGGCTTTTGTTTTTTTTTAACTCTAAAAGAAAACTAATAATATAATAATGTAATTTTACTTTTATTCAATACTTTAGTTGTAGTTAATTTTAAGTTGTAA